GCTAGGTGTTCTGTAAAATATTCCCTCTACTTCCCCATCATTTAGTATATAAGACTCAATGAGATATATACATAGCTTTAGAATGATGCCTACTAGGTTGACTTACTCAACTTAGAAATCCTATTACCACCGTTACTAGATAACTCATAGCATGCTTTTCCATTAAATATAGTCAACAAAATGATTTTGCCAAAAGTCATGTGCACAAATAATTTTTGCTTCAAAACGCATTAAGCTCTTGTAGGCTTCAGGATGCAGATCTGAAAAACCCAAAAGTTTAACTCTGCTTTCTTCCCTCTTAAAAACTATAGCTGCATGCCGGGCGCTGGTGGCTCACGCCTGTAATCCTAGCTACTCAGGAGGCTGAGATCTGAGGATCGCGGTTCAAAGCCAGCCCGGGCAGGAGAGACCGTGAGACTCCTATCTCCAATAAACCACCAGAAAACCGGAAGTGGCGCTGTAGCTCAAGTGGTAGAGCGCTCGCCTTGAGCTGAAGAGCTGAGGGACAGCGCCCAGGCCCAGAGTTCAAGTCCCATGACCAACAAAAAAAAAACAAAAAAACTATAGCTGCAGTAGATATTTTAATACTTGTTAAGAATGTTATGTGAAGAAAAGCATAACCAAGTCAATTAACTCATATCATTCCTAATCGGATATTACTTTAATCTGAACCAGAGTTTACGACTTCTGTAAAAACTGAGAGCAACTCTTAGTAATGTAAACCACAATGAGATTGTGGCCAAGGGTAAAATGGGGAAAGCGCTTAAAAATGTATGGTAGCAAGCAATGTTTTTCCTCCTCTTTTTCATAACATTACAATAGCTCTAATTCTGAACTGAGATTCTCAAATCTGAGCCTCCTGAATAGCTAGGAGAATAAATACCTGCCATTATAATTATTTTTTCTTTTCATTTTACCAGTGTAAAAACAATAGCCATTTATTAAACATCAACTCTCTTCCAGATCCTACATAGTTTTGTCTTCTCGATGCATATTAACGAAAATAATTTATAAACACATTACAATTGCTTTCAAAACAACTGAAAAAAATCTAAAAATAAGACAAAAAAGTCACATACATAACTGATATTAAAGAACTTAAAGTTCCATTCAGAACATCAAAATAAAAGCTATATGAATAACACACAAAGTAAAAAGAAGAGTACACAAGTAACTCACTGTCAAAACTCTGCTCATCAACTTCAAATACTAAAACTATCCATACCTGGCTAAAAGTAATTGGAACTAACTCATAGGAGACCATAGGACAAGTAAGTCACTGGTCTGGGTTATCAGCTTCTCATTCCTTAGGATTCTCTCATCCCTTTTCTATTTTTGATCAGTGTCCTAAAGTTCCATGGAACTTAGTTATTTAATTTTCAAGTATCACCTAATGCACTCTCCTCCAAAACTCTCAAATCTATCCTTTCTTTCCTATTTTCACTGCCATGATCATGGTTTAATCCTTCAAGACTTTTTACCTGTTGTGCTACAACAGCCTCCTCCAGCTAATTTCCCCATGTTTACCTTCTCCAATCCTTTCCTAACAATAATTAATGCTGAAGTGACTTTTCTCAACCTCAAATTCAATCTGACTAGCTTAACTCCTAGGATTCTCCATCACTCAAATTCCTAAGTTGTTTCATTTTTCTCATGTTTATATTCTCTAATATGCTATATTATTTGTCCAGTGTCTATACTCTAACTAAAATGCACATTCCATAAGGACAGTTTTTGTTCACTGCTATATGTTACTTGTTTGAATGAGTGAAATGAATGCAGGAATGGGCTAATGAACTACATGCAAAAGGCTTCCATGACCTACCAATGCTCTTCTCTTATTTATTTAATCTCTACCTCTATCAACAATGAATTACTCACTTTCACGCTCCTTTACTTTTATATACGCACATGCTATTCCCTCTGCCTGGAATATAAAATCTCCCCATCATCCAATCATTCCTCCAGAAGGCTTCTTGACCCTACAGACAAAATAAGTCATACTTTCTTTTGTGCAATATCTGTACCTTTGTCTATCTGTACCTTTGTCTACACTGGTTCTAATTAAACTATTAAACATTTCATCTCCTTTCCTAGACTGTGAATTCTTGGGGATTTTTGTCGGGAACTCAGGACCTCACACAGCTAGGCAGGTGTTCTGCCACTAAGTCACACCTCCGGCTCTTTTTTGCATTAGTTATTTTTGAGATAGGACCTTGTTTCCCTATTAAGTGAGCACCTGAACTCACCTAGATTGACCATAGCTCTGGGATAGGTGCCACTACATCCAGCTTTTTCCTTTGAGATAGAATTATTCAGACTTTTCTTCCTAGACTGACCTGGAACTGCAATCCTCCTGATCATATAGTTAGGATGACAGGCATGAACAACTGCACCCAGCTACTGGCTGAGGTCTCCTGTGTATGCCAATGTTAGCCTCAGACAAGATCCTCTTAATCTCATCCTCCAAATTAACTAGAAATACAGTGTGAGCCATCAACACCAGACCTAAACTTGAATTCCCTGAGGCTAAGGATTTCTCTCTTCATCTTCAGTGCCTATGCTGTCCCTGTCACAGAGCAATTACTCTGCAAATATTCATTAAATTAATGTACACAACCTACTCTGGAAGAAGACTAAAAGCATGCTGCATCAAGAAGTCACTACTCCGAGTCCATGATAAGATAACAATTACATAATAACTTGAGGCTAGGGATGAGAGGGGAAACAATGGGGGAGAAAGATGGAAGGGGTAACATTGATCAAGATGCACTACACTTATAACCTGACATATGGAATTGTAACTTCATTGCACAGCCACTTAACTTAAAAAAATACAACCAATACCAACATCCAGAATAATAAAAAAGAATGGACAAATTACCAAAGGATTCAAAAATGAATCATATAGCTGTAATTATTCCTTACTGGAAATACATTCTGGCTCCACTTACCTCCATCATTTGCCCTCCCTTTAGGCTCATTTTTATTGCTTGAAACCGGAAGCCCAGCGAAGTAGTAAGAAGCAGAAGGCAGACCTGAATTTCCCATGAATAATCTATTAAGATCACTCTCAAAGAAGTGTTTGGATTTCATAATAGCAATATTTTGTTTAATGCAAGTTGGTGTTGTGTTTTGAGCTAGTCAAAACCCCAGCATTCTAAGTAAACTACAAAGTATTTATACAGGACTAGATTTTACCACTAGCCATCTAAACCTGAGCTCCTCAACAACTATAACCTAGGCCATAAACACGCTACAGTTGGGCCTAGGCTATTGATGCCTTCAGTCCTTGGCAGCAACACAGACAACTTTGGACCAGTTACCTTCTGTCCTAAGATGCCTCACTCATTGACCCAGTAGAAACACTGTTTTTTCTTCATAATACTGTGGATGAAGGCCACTAAACCCAACCACAAAGAAAACCTACCTTCCCAACTTAATTCCAACAGTATGAATCTGCACATAAATGTGCAATCACACACAGATGCATACAAATGAGTAGATATAAAAAATATGTGAAGCTATCTGGAAAAGAGAAAAGTCTTAAGCCCAGTGACAGCTAATATAATGTGAGGTTAGCCAGAGAATAAGATATGATCCTTCATCCCTCTCTCCATCACCACTGTAAGTTCTGGGAAAATAAACCTCTAAATTATTTTCCAAATAGGTTGCCTACTCCCAATAGTTTGCCTCCTTCAGATAATACAGTCCAAGTTTCTCTTTCCACCTTTGGACACAATGAAAAATCATAGTTACTGTTTAAGAGCTTATATAACAGGAAAACACTGGACCTTTTAATTCTACATTTCTCACAGATACACTGGCGAGGCAGGGATTATGATTACTATACTCATTTCTTAAAATAATGTGACTAAAACTCTGAGGCTGAAATGTCTAGTCATACAGGCAAAACTGCTGCATGAAATTCTAACCAAGATCTAGGGTCATGAGAAGCCATGTAGTTTAAAAATTAAAACACTGTGTAAGACATGGTAGCATATACCTACAATTCTAGCACTTAGGACGCAGAGAAGAAACCTGAATTCTAGAGAGGAAAAAAAAAAAAGTAATGAGAACAACTTGGCACCAAAATCAGTTTAATGGGCTTTTTAATTCTAACCTACTACAAAGTACATCTGACACGCCTGCAACCGACTTTTAAGTAGCTTATATTATTTGGGGGGGGGGGGGAGGACTCCTCACGCAGCAGGTGTCTTAGCCTTTTACTTGTGTATGTTTCTTCCTCTGCAAAATAGGTAATAACCACACCTACTTCATAGTTTCCGAAGTAGTACAACAAACAACGGACAGGGAACAAACTCTGCTGCTTTGAAAGTACACATTAATCCCAGGAACACTTTTTTTTTCACTTTCCAAGTTTACACACGCTGACAAAAAGCTACATCGCAGAACACAGCGACTCGCAGTAGCTTTCATCAAGAATGAAGGAACCCTTTCCCCTGCAACTCATCCTAAAATCATAAACTAGTGTTTGCAGTTTATCTCTCATCCATCCGCTTAAAAAAAAAAATGTCCCCTACGGATGCGGAAGCGTACCCCGCCGACACGGTCAGCACCTTCCCCAGCGCAGCGCTCCCCGCCATCCCCACCGCCACACCCCTGCACCCGGGCTTTGCGAATTACAAGACGTTCCTGGGAGTCTCCCTCGAGAGCAAACTTAACACACCACGAACCCGTTCCACGCCGCAGCCCCCCAGCGCTCACTTCAGACACAGAAGGGGCCGCTGGCAGCTGAAACTCACGAGAAGGGAATCTTTTCAACCCTGTCCTCAGTTCGGCGCCTCAAATCGTGACCGAAATCCCCCCTCCCCTCCCGCGCTGCCTGTCTTCCGCGAGGTCACCCGGTACTCTGGGGACGCGGGATGCTCTCCGCACGCCCGTGTCAGCTCGCGCCCCGCTCCCCGCCTGCTCTCCCGCAGCGCAGGCCCGGCCAGGCCGCCGCCGCCGCCGGCTCCGACCCCAGGCCCGCTACTCACCGCTTCTTCGGGATGGAGCCAGTCTCCAGCGCGGCGGGAGTGGCCGTGGGCGACGCCGGGGCCGCCGCCGCGGCTCTCCGCGCCTTGCACTCATTGGCACTTACAGCCTCTTGGGGCCGGCCCAGCAGATGGCCCGAGAGCACTCGCAGCCTCCGCCCCGCGCGACCCAAGTCCGGGTCGGGGTCCGGGTCCGCCGCGGAGCCCGAGCTCGCGCCGGTCCCGCCCGCTGTAGCTGCGGCCGCCGCCTCCGCCATGGCTTCCGCCTGGTGCCGCCGCCCGGGAGCGCTGGACGCGGGTGAAAGGTCACTCAGAGCGGAGCCCGGCGCGACCATTCGCCGCGGCGCTTCCCGGCAGCCACCGCGGCGACTGGGCGGAGGGTGCGGCGCGCCCGCAGCTTCACATTCCGTGCCCCCGCCCACCGCGCCCCCTGCCCCGCCCCGCCCCGCCCCGACAGGGTCACGCCTCGGCCTGGAGCGTCAGCCCGGCAGGTGAGTCGCCCGACAACCGGTGATGGATGAGCCGTGGCCCCACCAGTTTAGGAGCCAAACCACAAGCACCACCCTCTCCCCGCCGCGGGGTCTGGGTTACCTGGGGTATTGCCTGAAACTCTGGAGGCGCTTACGGGTTGGGGACGCCCTGGGGCATCTGAACCAGCCGCGCCTTCCAGGCGTTGTCCTACCTCAGCTTTTACCCCTGAAGGATCGATCACTCACCTCAAATCCAAACTGAATCTCTTTGCCTTTAATTCTTAAGAGTGCAAGTAGCTCTCATCTTCTTGTTGCTCAGGGCTTGCTGTGCGCCTGACACTGCTTTAATGCCAGACTTCAAGTAAGTAATCGCCATTTTACAGATGCAAAAACTGAGACTCAGAAACATGTGACTAGTTTAAGAGCTTACTGTGCAGTAAATGCTAAAACTGGGCTGCATTTTACATTCTGTTTCCTAATCCAGCTGTAGGCGATCTTTATTGCTACAGATAAAATTACCCAAGAGCTGCTGTGAAGATTTCTCAATTATTGACAAATTGACTTCAGTTTTAGATAGTAGATTGTCATGAGATTGGGGAAATCTCCATACAAACATGGTTCAGAACCATTTCCAGCCAGTCTTGCTAAGAGTTAGCTTAAAGACTGTGCAGGCTATTGTCATTTTACATGGTATTACCACTTTCAAGTTATGTCTAACTTAGAAAAGGAAAATATTAGCAGAGGGTCTTGCCAGCTTCTAAGACTGAGAAGCTATCATTATAATGAACTTCCAGACAGGCCCATGTCCGTTAAAGCAAGCTTCTATTATTAAAAAATTACCTCTAGCTTATGACCTGTGTTTATACAACCCTAGAGCTATTTAGTTTTATGTTTGAAAACCTTTCCTTAAGTGGGGGAAAAGGAAGACAAGAAATATCTAAGAGAGTCGTACAAATGGTCCCACAAATTCTAAAATACATATTTTTTGACCTTCACATAAACATTTTTGTTCTGAGAAATAAAAAGAGATGCCAGGGGCTGGGAAGGTGGCTCAGTGGTAGAGCGCTTGCCTTGCATGCATGAGGCTCTGGGTTCAATTCCTCAGCACCACATAAGCAAAAAGAAAAAAGCCGGAAGTGGCACTGTGGCTCAAGTGGTAGAGTGCTAGCCTTGAGCTGAGGGACAGTTCCCAGGCCCAGAGTTCAGGCCCCACGACCAGACCAAAAAAATAAAAATAAAAAATAATAATAATAAAAAGAGATGCCAATCCCACATCCAAAACAGCACAAATGACCAGCAATAGAATAAATTATGTCAATATTCTTAAGAAACTGAGTCATGAAAGTATTAGAATAAAGAAAAAGTAGGAAGCGAACTCAACAGACCAGGTGGGAAGTTGAAGAAGGATGCAATGGTGACCTGAAGAGAGTCAGGAGATACCAGGCTTTCTGGAGTTTATGGTGCAGGCCTGGTGCAGAAACCTATTGTTTGAACAAGTTTCCTGCCCTGCCCGTTTCTGCTTAAAGGAACTCAGGCACCTGTCACCTGGTGGGAAGAGAACAGAAAGAGCTTTCATATGTAGGTTAAGATTCTGGGCTGGAAACTCTGCTGAAGAATTTCAGGAAGGTACCCCTTCCTGAAGGATAGGAAAGGTAATCAGTGGGTCAAGCTATGGGAGTAATATTGAGTTATGAGAACAAAGCAGATTCCCTGAGACCCTGAAGGGGATATAAAAAGTAGAGGGACATTGTGACATTGTGGTCTTTTCTGGCTACTTCCTGCTGACATTGGGGTATTGGTCCCATATATATATATATATATATATATATATATATATATATATACGTACATACATACATATATATGTGTGTGTATATATATATATATATATACGTACATACATACATATATATGTATGTATGTAGGTATATGGTTTTAAACCTTTGTCTGATGTATTGCTGGTAAAAATCTTTTTCCAGTCTGTTGGCTGTCTTTCTAGTTTAATAGCTATGTCCTTAGCTAAACTTTTTTGTTCCCGGAAACTATTTTGTCTTGGTATAATTCCATTTGTCAAGTCTCCCTCCTATCTTCTGTGCCATGGGATTCTTTTCAAGAAGCTAATACCAATAGCTATAAATTCTAATGTTTCTCCTATTCTCTCTTGTAGTAATTTCAAAGTTTCAAGTCTGACATTAAGGTCTTTAGTTCACTTTGAATTGATATTAGTGCATGGTGATAAGCTGGGATCCACTGTTAGTTTTCTTTAGTTACTTTTCAAGGGTCAAGAACAAGTGACTCCATTCAGGATCTGACACCATTCAGTTTTATCTAAGCAGTTGTTCCCAATTGCCTCTAGATAGTCCCTCATTGCCAGGATAAACTTTGTCTTGGCAGGTCTGACAGATCTCTTCTTCTTGCTGGGATAATCTCCCAGTTGGCATTTTTGCTTGATCTGGGATGACCTGTCCCAGTTGACTGAATCTCACATTGAAGGGAGATGGCTGACAGATTGGGTTAGAGTTGGTGCCAATAGACCCCTTTATTTTCAATTTAAGCAACAAGTAGATGGATAGAAATTGTTTTTTATATGTATTTTATTGTAAAGATACTGTACAGAAAGGGGTTACAGTTACATGAGTAAGGTAATGAGTACATTTCCTATCAAGCATTCCTACCCCCTCCTTTGTTTATCCCCTACTATCCCTTCCCTCCCCACCTCCCCAACTCCTCCCTCCCCCTCCCAAGTTGTTTTCAACATAGTGTCTTGTACATCTCATTGTTACAATGGGTAAACCTGTATCCTTATTTAAGCATTTTGTTATTTCCCTTCCACTCCCCAAATTAGAAAAAAATGTATATACAAGATGCAGAGCACCAGAATCAAATACAACGAAAACAAGGGTTAGACCAAGGGGGAAGAACATACAAAAGAAACAAAAAAAATCATATAGTACATTAAAAACAACAGCAATAAAGATTAAACCTCTTGTGTCCCTATCTTGAGGTTCATTTCACATAGCATCATCATATATGGTCATATGAACATAGTTTTGACCTTTTCTGCTTGTCTGGTAAGATTATCCTAGATATATACTAGTTATTGAAAATAAGGGAAACCATTGGACATACATTTCTTTGGATCTGGCTTACTTCACTTAATATAATTTTTTCCAAATCTTTCCATTTCCTAACAAATGGGGCAGTGTCATTCCTTCTGATGTAGGCATAGAATTCCATTCTGAGTGTGTGTGTGTATAAAATCACATTTTGTTGACTCATTCATCTACTGAGGGGTACCTGGGTTGGTTCCATATCTTAGCTATGGTGAATAAAGCTTCAATAAACATAGTTGTGCTGGTAGCTTTAGTAAGGCCTTGTTTGTGATCGTTTAGATAAATGCCCAAAAGTGGGATTGCTGGATCATAGGGGAGCTCTATGTGGAGTCTTTTGAGGAACCTCCATACTGTTTTCAAGTGGTTGAACAAGTTTACACTCCCACTAACAATTCAGAAGGGTTCCCTTTTGTCCACATACCTGTCAGCATCTATTGTTACTAGTTTTCTTGATTATAGCCATTCTAACTGGGGTGAGGTGGAATCTCAATGTTGTTTTGATTTGCATTTCTTTTATGGCCAGAGATGTTGAGTATTCGTGTGTTATTGGCCATCCTTATTTCCTCTTCAGAGAAGTCTCACTTTAAGTCTTTAGCGGACTTATTAATGGGGCAGTTGTTTCTTTGAGGATTTGTTGTTGGGAGAGTTAACTTTTTGAGTTTTAAGTATATTTTAGATATAAGGCTTTTATCTGTTGTATGGCTAGTGAAGATCTTCTCCCAATCTGTGGGCTTTCTATTGATCTTGCAAGCTATGTCCTTTGCCATGCAATCCCATTTGTCCAAGCTTTCTTTGATTTGTTCTTGGGTCTTTATTAAGAAAATTTCAGCCCTTGCCAATGAGCCCTAGAGTTTCTCCTATTCCTTCCTTAATGTATTCAGGGTGTCTACTTTTACTATCAGATCTTTGATCCATTTGGAGTTGATTCTGTTGCAGGGTGCTATATAAAGATCTAGCTTTAGTTTTCTATAGGTGTTTAACCAATTTTGCCAGCACCATTTACTGAAGAAGCTCTTTCTTCTATTCTTTTTTTAGCTCCCTTATCGAAGATTAGGTGGCTATAGGTCTGTGGGTTTAAATAGAAATAGTTTTTAAGTAGGGCCTACCTGGAACTTAGTAAGACTCAAAGTTGAACTTGCCAAATAAGAGTCATCTGTCCCTCTATGGTCTGACTGTAATTGCTACAGAGGATTAAATCTGTAATAGGAAAACTTAAAGAGTAGTTATGATGAGAGTTTTAAAACAGCAACTGGTTAAACATCTAGTTATTTTTAATTGTATATAGCATTTTAGGATACTAATTAAGATTGAAACCACTGTAGATGTCACTAACCTTTTTTGATTACAATGAGGCATGCAAGAACATAAGCTTGTTTCATGATTTTTTTAGCTCTGTATCAAAGACAGCTTACATACTTGGGAAACACACATGTTAGACAGCAAAAATTAGCACATTAGTTTTAAATACCTATTTAAAAGGTGATCATTAAATGAACTTTGGCTTACTTATGTGATTCATACCTGATGAGCTTAATATTTCACAAGTAGTTTCTTTTTTGGATGGACATGAACAATGGGAACCTGGTTTTCAGTGTATTAATCTAGACCTTAAGAAAAATACTTAGATAAGTTTTTAAAGTCATAATTACCCTTAGACACATTTGGTAAAAAACCATATCTGATGACCTTCTTTGCAGTTTAGCCTACCATTTCTTTTCCTTTTGGCATGCTGAGCCAGTTAACTCCTGCTTACAGTGCTGACAGTTTTTTATGCATTAAAAT